TATGTATGAAGCATTATTACTGTGTTTCGTTAGAGTCAAATCTTCCTCTCGATACAGATCGTAATAAAGTCATAAATCAACATAAGATTATGAATTTATTTTGTCTAGACATTTTTTAATATTTGAATTCATGTGTCGATTAAGCCTAAAGGACCATGAGAATCCTGGAAGCACTGGATGGCCGTTTTCTCCTGCTATGGGACCCCCCAGTGGTGGGCATCCACGATCTCGCCGTTGGGATTCGAACCCAGAGCATTCGGTCTCGCGCGTGAACACCAAACCTATAGATCTCTGAGTCGACATCCAACAGTGTTACTGTCTAACTTCAACTACTCCACGAGATTGAGCGACACATCCACAATGTCTTTGGTGGGTTACTATCTCACAACAGACCTGCTTGAACTCCACTGGTCACTACTTCTCACTAGAACTCCAGAATATACCCCTCGAAGACAGTCACTAGTGAGCATATGTTTTTTTGTTTGGAAATTCACTATGTCGATTATTTATGTTATATCCTCATTTATCCACCTCCCAATATAGTCGAAATTAAGTGCTTATCTCGCTGTCCAGATGTTGAGCATTGATGCACGATACTGAAGCCCCTACGTTTGACATCTGGCGAGATAATGGATGTTCACTGCTCAGGACTCCCTACTAAGACCAGACAGCTATTCACTACTTCTTCGTTTTAAGTATTATTTGTGTCCTATTAATGTATAACGTAATGATACCGCCGATTAGAGAACAGTGAATTATCGATTAGACAAATGACGCATAAAACAAGTACGAGCAGTCTAGAATCCTTATCGGTCGTGCTTCCCAGCCAGTTAAGTCCAGAACACCAATCTCAGCCTCTAAAATATGAATCATTTATTTCAAACATACTGGGTTTATATACCAACCAAACAGACCACATCGTACCATAAAATACGAAACAACATTTGCACAAGATCTAGCCCAAAGTGGCTGTGAATATAGGAGGTAGTAGTTGATAGACTAGGTATAACTCAAGAATGGTAAATCGTATAATAACAGTTCATAGGTGAAAACGAAGCTGATAATAAGAGGGACATGAATATGAATAGTTTAGTTACTTAACAATTGTACGATAAAAATATACGTTTAGTATTGGTCCATAAATGGATCCCAAAAGTTACCATTCATTGTTCTCATAACACTAACAATATATTCTTGTTTTACGAGAATGAGAAGATACAACCTAGGGGTGCTTGGGATTAGTGAAACACATTGGACGCAAATTGGACAACAACGATTAACTTCAGGAGAACTTCTGTTATACTCCGGCCATGAAGAAGAAAAAGCTCCACATACACAAGGAGTTGCATTGATGCTGTCCAATTAAGCACTTACAGGATGGGAATCTCATGGACCAAGGACCTTCAAAGCCTCCTTCAAAACAAAGAAAGAGGGCATTTCAATGAACATCATCCAATGCTATGCGCCCACCAACGATTACAATGAAGACGCTAAGGATCATTTCTACGATAGGCTGCAGTCAATAGTCGAGAAGTGCCCAACAAAGGACCTGACCATTCTGACGGGAGATTTCAACGCCAAGGTTTGAACGGACAACACTGGATATGAAGACATCATGGGACGACAAGGACTGGGAGAAAGGAACGAAAATGGTGAGAGATTTGCAAACCTATGTGCCTTCAATAAGTTGGTCATAGATGGCACCATATTCCCACATAAACGCATACACAAAACCACATGGACCTCACCGGATCACACTACACAGAACCAAAGCGACCATATTTGCATCAACAAAACGTTCAGGAGGACGATGGAAGACGTGAGAACCAAGAGAAGGGCTGATGTAGCATCAGACCATCACTTGCTGATCGCCAAGATGTATGGTGACATATATTCAGTGATTTTTGTAACAACAAAAATAAAAACCACATTTTTTCTCGAATTTGTCATACTTTATTTGTAACCACATTTTTATCCAATATCTGTTGTTTTGCTGTATCACTTGTTAAAAAGACGATGATAATTGTTTCGATGAATGGTATACACTACTCCTCCCGGGTGGTTTAAAATATAAAACACTACCTACGCCGTTTGTTCTTCTGTTTTATTGGCCACCGTTTTGATTGAAGACTATAATAGTATTATAACATCCTTATAGGCCTTCCGACTCAGCGTTGGACTTTTGCACGGATTGCTATTGTATAATACTATTGGACTCCGTCTTCCTCATTACGTCTTTGGTGCAGTCACTTGCAGAGGAACACCTGTCAACCAAGTGAACTTAGTTTGTGGTCGTTGTCCTCACGAGGCAGTTAACAAGTAACATTCATTCTATAGTAACTGTTAGCGTCTGTTTGTTTAATATACCTTTTGTATTGCTAACGGTATTTTATTACCTTTGTTTTTACTAACGGAAAGACATCTAGGTTTCTTAACCATTAATTTGTTTTGGTATATCATTGTTAACCTAGTGTATCAATATATCTTGTGTAAGCTCCTTTTGTTTGGGGACCACCACAAATTTGGTGAGCCCGTAAAGTTTATTTTCTCTCTCAACTACTTTTGAGTTCACTTACAGACATTACGGCGTTATTTTACCCTTGGTAGTATTTAAATTTTCATATATTCGTAATGTACTCATCCGAAACTGAAGGCATTAGCCAGGATAACATGTCAGCAGAGCTACATGCTCTAAATTTGATAAATGTGCCCCCATTCAGCCGATTAAATCCTCGCATTTGGTTTGCGCAAGTAGAAGTACAATTTCAGCGTCGCAACATACGCTCACAGGCATCTAAATACTCTTTTGTGCTTGGATTACTACCCACTGAAGTTGCATCTGAGGTGTCAGATTTGATAGATAGTATTCCTGCACCTAATCCATATGATCAATTGAAGCAGGCAATTATTCAACGTACCTCATTATCTGATGAAAAGAGATTACAGCAATTACTACACGAATGTGAGCTAGGCGACAAATCACCGTCTCAATTATTACGACACATGAGACAATTAGCTGGCCCTTATAAATTTGATGACACCTTCCTCAAGGAGATTTGGCTACAACGTTTGCCAACAGTAGTTAGGCAAATTCTTTGCGCCTCTAGCCAACCATCAGATTTAGAAAGTCTTGCTAGCATGGCGGATAAAATTTTAGAAGTTACACCCTGTACTACACCTTACGTACAGGCAATAGTAGAAACTTCGAACGATAAGCAAACTCCCACCATAGCATCGTTAACTGCTGAACTAGGCGAACTACGAGCACAACATGAACGAACTGTCGCCACTCTTGAAAATAAACTGGATGCATTACGATTATTAATCTCCAACTTCACATCTACAAGATCTCGCTCTAGTTCTCGAGGGAGTAAGAATCGAGATAACGCAAAAAGAAACAAAAACGACGACAACATATGTTGGTACCATAAAAAATATGGTGACAGAGCTAGGAAATGTGTTACGTCTTGTAAATTTTTCAAGTCATTTTCCTCACCAAGACGTGTCAACCAAACCATGGTAGCGACAAATGTTTCTGGTCGTGCGCCTACTCGTCTTTTCCACGTTCTTGATAAAACTTCAGGGTACAAATTCTTAGTAGATACTGGAGCTGAAGTTAGTGTCATCCCAGTTACCTTAGCCAATAAACCTATTGCTAAGAGTGGAAAATATACCCTAAGGGCAGCTAATAAAACCGAAATAAAGACATTTGGCGAACAATTTCTAACATTAGACTTGGGAATTAGACGTAATTTAACCTGGGTGTTCATTATTGCGGATGTCCGTCACCCTATACTAGGTGCAGATTTTCTCAGTTTCTACAACCTACTAGTTGACGTTAAGAGAAGAAAACTTATTGATTCCTGCACGAACCTTCAAATCCAGGGAATTCAGTCGGACTACCACATACATAGTATTAAAATTGACACCCCAGGGAACGACATATTCGCCACCATTCTATCTAAATTTCCCAAAATAACGAGACCAGACTACAGTGAAAACACTGTCCAACATTCTGTAGTACACCGGATCATCACAAAAGGTCAACCAACTTCGGCACGTCCACGCCGATTACCACCAGACAAACTGAATGTTGCAAAAGCTGAGTTTGATCATATGATGCAGCTAGGTATAATACGTCCGTCAAGTAGCCCCTGGGCATCCCCACTCCACATGGTGCCCAAGCGAGACCAAGATTGGCGACCCTGTGGTGATTATAGATCATTGAACAACCTGACATTACCGGATCGCTACCCAATCCCTCATTTGCATGATTTTTCTCTCACTTTACATGGCAAGCAAATTTTTTCTAAAATTGATCTTGTGCGAGCGTACCACCAGATTCCAGTAGCATCCGAGGACATAGCAAAAACAGCCATCATTACTCCATTTGGTTTGTTTGAATTCCTAAGAATGCCTTTTGGATTAAAGAACGCCGCACAAACATTTCAACGATTTATGGATCAGGTCACTAAAGGCCTAGATTTTGTTTTCGTGTATATTGATGATGTCTTAATAGCTAGCAGTTCGATCCATGAACACGCTGATCACCTACATCAATTATTCGAAAGATTTCAGAAATATGGCATAGTGATTAATCCATCCAAATGTATTTTCGGAGTTGAGAGTCTAGAGTTTTTAGGTCATTTGATCGACAAACGTGGAATTAAACCGTTGGATACAAAAATAGAAGCCATCAAGAATTTTCCAGAACCAGACTCATGGAATAAACTTCGACGTTTTTTGGGGATGATTAATTTTTATCGTCGCTTTATTCCACATTGCTCAGCCATTCTACAACCTTTGACGGAGGTGTTAAAAGGTAAAGTCAAAAAGTTCACATTACCCTCCCAAGCGAACGATGCCTTTTCTGCAGCTAAAACAGCAATCGCTTCTACTACCATGCTGACCTACTTAAGCCCTGATCCGGAAGCAACACTAATTCTGTGTACAGATGCATCACATGCAGCAGTAGGTGCAGTACTACAACAGCGAGTTAATGATGAGGTCAAACCACTTGCCTTCTTTTCAAAGAAGCTAGAACCAACCCAAACTCGATATAGCACTTTCGGTAGAGAACTATTGGCTATTTATCTAGCTGTTAAACATTTCAACCATTTACTGCAAGGCAGAGACTTTGTGATACTCACTGATCACAAACCTTTAACCTATGCCTTTAACGCGAAAAGTGACCGTTATTCCCCTAGAGAAATGCGACAATTGGATTATATTTCCCAATTTTCGACCAACATACAGTTTATAAAAGGTGAGTCAAATGTTGTTGCGGATACTTTGTCACGTTTCAACGTCGATGCAATTTCCTTCACCAAAGGAATCGATTTATCAGACATGGCACGTTTGCAGACAGATGATCCCGACCTTGATGCTTGTAAACAAAGTTCGAGCTTGTCCTTAAAAAGTGTTCCTATACCGCATTCTGACTCTACTATCATTTGTGATACTTCTACTGGAACTCACAGACCTTTTGTGCCAATAGTGTACAGAAAAAGAGTTTTTGATTGTCTTCACTCACTATCCCATCCAGGGATTCGTGCTACTGTGAAACTGATCGCTGAAAGATTTGTTTGGCCAAAGATGAATGCAAATATAAAAAAATGGACCAGGACTTGTGTACAGTGTCAGCGCAGTAAAATACATAGACATACGATTACAACACCGCCAGCATTTAGTCTACCCGAACATCGTTTTCAACATGTTCATGTTGATTTAGTTGGTCCTCTTCCTCCATCTAACGGATTCACGTACATTTTTACTGCAGTGGACCGTTTTACTAGATGGCCAATTGCATGCCCAATAAAAGATATCTCCGCGGAAAATGTTGCTGCTGTATTCCTCGATAGATGGATCGCTAATTTTGGTGTACCTTCTACAGTTACTTCTGACAGAGGTTCACAGTTCCAATCTCACCTCTTCAATGAATTCACCCGCATTTTAGGAATCCATCACATCACTACAACAGCATACCATCCAGCAGCGAATGGACTAGTGGAACGGTTCCACAGACAACTAAAAAGCTCATTGATGGTACAACCTGATGTTTCTAGATGGAGTGAATCTCTACCTCTTATTTTACTAAGTATACGCTCCACAATTAAAGAAGACCTACAATGTACTCCGGCACAGCTCGTCTATGGAGCTAATTTAACCTTACCGGGGCAGCTAGTGACGCATAATGGCAAACCCGTATGTACGGATCCCACTTCTTTTTGTGAAAGACTTATGAGCCATATGAATAACATTAAGCCTGTTGCACCTCGGCCAGTTGTCTTAAAAGAGCAAGTTAGCAAGCATCTAAATACGTGTAAATTTGTATTTGTTCGTGTTGACTCAGTAAGACGCCCTCTACAACATCCTTATGAAGGACCATATGAAGTAGTTGAGAGGCAAACAAAATATTTCACAATCAATAAGAACGGAAAAAAAGAAACAGTTTCAATCGACCGGATAAAACCTGCTTTTATAGAGTCTGAAACACATGACAACCGAAAGCCGTCTAAAAACAGCAGAGATCACACAACGCAGCTCCCAGTGTCTCCAAATAATTCTTCACCAACTCCGACGAAATCAATATTTCGTAAAACAGACGGTTCTAAGGTTACAGTTCCCACAAACTTAAATCCTAGTTCCGACACTTTACCTTCTACGAAAACAACTCGTTCAGGAAGACATGTACATTTTCCTAAACGTTATGTTGAATTAATTACTTAACCTTTATTCTGTCATTACCTGTAATGTGATTAAATATCTATATTAGCAGAGTTACTAATAACATTTTTTTTGCAAGCATTTAAAAAAAAAATTTTTTTTGTGTACTACTAATATTGATAAATTTTATTATGTTTTTCTCTACATGTGTATGCGTTTCATATGATGTTTATTATTAATTGTGCAAATACATACAATTCCGTTGGACTCGTTCAGTTTATCACTAAATGTTTACACAATTTATACATGTATTTACATTTTTCGGTGAACTCTCAATTTAATTACTGTTATTACTAATGATACTATTATTATTATTATTATTATTATTATACACTTCGTTATTCTTGTTAAACTTTTTATATACATTAAAGTCTCTTTACTACAAGAGAAACATTTTGTTCTTGAATATATATACACGTATGATTTTTTAAAAAAAATATTTGTTTACCCTTTTCGTGGTGTAATTTTCTCCTCCCTCCAAAGCATTTAGAGTTTTACGTCGGGCATACTTCCACCGACGCATGCCCTAGGGGGGGAGTTATATGGTGACATATATTCAGTGATTTTTGTAACAACAAAAATAAAAACCACATTTTTTCTCGAATTTGTCATACTTTATTTGTAACCACATTTTTATCCAATATCTGTTGTTTTGCTGTATCACTTGTTAAAAAGACGATGATAATTGTTTCGATGAATGGTATACACTACTCCTCCCGGGTGGTTTAAAATATAAAACACTACCTACGCCGTTTGTTCTTCTGTTTTATTGGCCACCGTTTTGATTGAAGACTATAATAGTATTATAACATCCTTATAGGCCTTCCGACTCAGCGTTGGACTTTTGCACGGATTACTATTGTATAATACTATTGGACTCCGTCTTCCTCATTACGTCTTTGGTGCAGTCACTTGCAGAGGAACACCTGTCAACCAAGTGAACTTAGTTTGTGGTCGTTGTCCTCACGAGGCAGTTAACAAGTAACATTCATTCTATAGTAACTGTTAGCGTCTGTTTGTTTAATATACCTTTTGTATTGCTAACGGTATTTTATTACCTTTGTTTTTACTAACGGAAAGACATCTAGGTTTCTTAACCATTAATTTGTTTTGGTATATCATTGTTAACCTAGTGTATCAATATATCTTGTGTAAGCTCCTTTTGTTTGGGGACCACCACAGATGAAACTGAAACTCAAGAAGCACTACACAACGGGGCGGACAGCATCACAAAAACTCAATACGACCTTTCTTCAGGATACTGACAAACTCAAAAAATTCAAGATAGTCCTCAGCAATAAGTTCCAGGCCTTTCATGATCTACTCAATGGAGAAGGAACTACTATGGAAAACAACTGGAAGGGGATCAAAGAGGCAATCACTTCAACATGTCATGAGGTTCTGGGCCACAAGAAGCACCATCACAAGGAATGGATCACTGTTGATACACTGGATAAGCATCAAGAAAGGAGGAACAAGAATGCAGCAATCAATACCAGTCGAACAAGAGCAGAAAAATCCAAAGCACAAGCTGAATATACAGAAGTAAACAAACAAGTGAAGAGGAGCGTCAGAAGAAATCGGCATGGCCATCAGATAAATCAAGAGTGGCAAAGCAGCAAGACCAGACAACATTCCAGCAGAGGCACTGAAAGCAGACGTAGCGGCAACTGCAAGGATACTCCACATTCTCTTCAATAAGATTTGGGATGAGGAACAAGTACCAACAGACTGGGAAGAAGGACTTCTGATCAAAATACCGAAGAAAGGCTATCTCAGCAACTGTTATAACTACAGGGGCATCACCCTTTTCTCAAAACCTGGAAAAGTCTTCATCAGGGTATTGTTAAACAGGATGAAGGACTGCGTAGACGCCCAACTTCGAGACCAACAGGCAGGATTCCGTAAGGATAGATCGTGTACAGACCAAATCGAAACTCTACGGATCATTGTGGAACAATCAATTGAATGGAATTCATCACTCTACATCAACTTCATTGACTACGAAAAGGCATTTGATAGCGTGGACAGAACAACACTATGGAAACTTCTTCGACACTACGGCGTGCCTCAGAAGATAGTTAATATCATACAGAACTCATATGATGGATTAAACTGCAAAATCTTGCATGGAGGACAGTTGACAAAGTCGTTCGAAGTGAAGACCGGTGTTAGGCAAGGTTGCTTACTCTCACCCTTTCTCTTTCTCCTGGTGATCGACTGGATCATGAAGACGTCAGTATCTGAAGGGCAACACGGGAAACAAGGGACATCTAGGATGCAGTTAGACGATCTAGACTACGCAGATGATCTGACCCTTTGTTATATCCGAGTGGAGATTAAATCACAGGTAACTCCCGAGGACTATTCATGGACTAATATTCTATAAATATTCTTATTTTATAACTACTCAACAATCACACTATGTATATTTATATCCCTCTTATGACAAGCTTTATTTTGGCCTATAATTTATTATTGTACGATTTACGGTTCTTAAGTTATGTTCAGTTTATTAACTACTGCCTCCCACATTCACAGCCACTTTTTGGGCTTATTTGTGTACAAATATTATTTCCTATTTTATGGTACGTTGCGGTCTGTGTGATTGATATATAAACCAAGTATGTCTGAAATAAACGATCTGCTCTGATTCGGAAGCTGGTATCTTGTTCTGGACTCAAGTGGAAGGGCTCGTAGGACATAGGACCAATAAGAACGCTAAACTGCCCACACCGGTCGAACGTCATTGGTTGGCCTAGTGTGAAGATTCGTATAAGTCGTATTCGGATTGGTAGATAAGTCGTGCGATAGAAAAACCAGACATACAAAGCCATAACAATTGGCGACGGGGTGGAGAAAAGTTTTGAACCCTCAACTTCAAGGTCATAACAATTGGCGACGGGGATTTTGGCAACAAAGAAAAAGTAATAATACGACAAGTGGTGACTCAGATTTTGGAAATAAATTAGCTGTATAATTGCCGGTGATTTTTGGAGCTAATATTATTGGCAAAAAAATGTCGATTTCTTTCGAACAGTTGCGGTTAATATTACAGCACCAGCAGAAGATGTTTGCCTTGCAACAACAGCTATTTGTAACAGTTTTGGGCAGACTTTGCATTCAAGCAGAAAATAAGAACAGTGTGGCGGCAGCCTCAGCAGCAGCAGGTTTCAACATACACAAAGGGAAAAGCAGGATTCTTCGATACAACACAGCATGCACCAATCCAGTCACAATTGACGGAGAAGATTTGGAAGATGTTTAAACCTTTACATGTTTGGGCAGCATCATCGATGAACACTGTGGATCTGATGCAGATGTGAAAGCGCGGATCGGCAAAGCAAGAGCAGCATATTTACAACTGAGGAACATCTGGAACTCCAAACGACTTTCAACCAACACCAAGGTCAGGATTTTCAATACAAATGTCAAGACAGTTATACTGTATGGGGCAGAAACCTGAAGAACTAAGAAAGCCATCATCCAGAAGATACAGGTGTTTATTAACAGTTGTCTAGGCAAAATAATTCGGATCCGTTGGCCGGACACTATTGGCAACAACCTACTGTGGGAGAGAACAAACCAGATCCCAGCGGAGGAAGAAATCAGGAAGAAGCTCTGGAAGTGGATAGGACACACACTGAGGACAGCACCCAACTGCGTAACAAGACAAGCCCTCACATGGAATCCTAAAAGCCAAAGGAAAAGAGGAAGACCAAAGAACACATTACGCCGAGAAATGGAAATTGATATGCGAGAAATGAACAAGAAATGGATAGAGCTAGAAAAGAAGGCCCAGGACAGAGTGGGTTGGAGAATGCTGGTTGGCGACCTATGCTCCATTGGGAGTAACAGGCGTGAGTAAGTAAGTAAGTAAGTAAGTAAGTAAGTAAATAAGTAACACCATCGGAATTCATTACTACATGAGTTTTATAGCCATTTGTATTGTGGGTCTAGTAAAATAAGTACAGCATTCAAAGAAAATGAGGTTGATTTCATATAGAAAATCCAATGCTATATATCTGTGAACCTTCGTTATGTACTGCATTATTCGAAATAAATAGTTTTCTTTCAAAAATGGCAACGTTGGGTACTAGTTTCTTAGAATTCACTGAACGTATTGTGTTATGTATGTCATCAAAATATAATTGCTACACACATTTAATTAGATATTTTTACGATAATATGAATAAAACATTCACTCATTTCATATGCAATTTCAATTTCTGTCAATGCTCACCTGTATCTTTCCATTACATGTGGAACAACTATTGAATGTATTAAAAGAGAAGTTCCACTATGATGTCCACAAAGAGACTTGAAAAGTAATTAAAAAGAGAGATTTAATAAATTGCTAATTATAATTTCAACAAGCACCCAAAATCATACAGTTAACTTTAAGCAAACACCATTCCTATCATACTTTTGGCATTCATATTTCATAGTTATATAATATACCCTTGCGGACCAGGGCAATTTTACATTGTTTTTCAGGAGAACCAGAAACCGTATAGGCTTCAACGCTACAATCTGAATAGTACAGCTCAATCCTGTGGCGCAACCACACAGGTTCCAAGCACCCTTGTGAACCATTCACACCATTCATATACACATTCACATCACCTGTGTAGTTATTCCGATCAATGATCGCGTGAACCAATTATTCACAGCACGAACAGGTCAAAGTCGACCTATTGCACATACACCACAGTCAAACTCATTAATGTTAGCAATGGCGACATGCCTTACAATGTCACAATGACAATGGCCCTTGAGAACACTGAAAGCCAACCACCATTATGAATGAAATCGGTTAACCAGCAAACCAATTTTGTGCATGAACAGTCAGGAAAATTTGCCAAAGCAATGCCGAACCATCCACAATACCAATGGCGAACTTCCAGCCTCATATTAGACCTTCAGCCCTACATAGCCATATAGCTTATGGGTTTGGACACGTATAAAAATGATATAAATACTTAAGATATTTGATCAAATTCAAGAAGTTTTCAAATGAATATATTTGAGTTAGCTGGTAATTGTCGCTTTACCAATTTATTTATTGGTCTACATTTTCAACTTGATTGATTTGTTAGTTTCTATTGTTTAATTGATTTCACTAGACTGGATGGAAATTTTGCCAAGTTGGAATTTTCTTCTACTAAATTTCAAAATGAATTTCATGATAATTCATATGCAAGTGAATGATTCACAAATACGTTTGATTTTGACGCTTTATTGAAAATAGAGTGAATTGATAAGTCTCCTAGGCTTAATAATGTTGTTATGAGGTTTATATCCCATCTGATAGATTATAAATAGAATAAACCGGAAAAGAATTCTGTAGTTTGAGTCAATGTGGAAAAATATTTATAGGCATTGAAGAAGCTATCAGTAGCTAAGTACATAACGTGAAGGTATTTATGGCGACTGGTCCCAGAGTGAACATCAACTATGGGGCACAGGTACATCCAGATGAAGAGTCCTAAATTGGTTGAATCGCACTTCCACTAAAATAATAATGCCAGCTTTGAAATATGTTAGTGAATTAAATCTCCAGGTAAAAATTTAGTAACAAAATAATTATAAATGAACGAAATATACGATGAGCACTGGTTCCTCATAAGTAACTTAACTTTCTATGGAATTTCGTTATTACTTATGTATATTACTAATGTGTACTAAATTCCAAATACAACAAATAGTATAATATAAAAGTAAATATCTCTAGACATTTTGATAAAACGTAGTGATTTATAACATGAAAGAAAAACTGTGACTTGCTTGTGCAAATGAGAGAAAGAACAACTGATCAGATATAAGGGAGAGATTATAATTTTGATTAACACTATTCGAATACTTCTCATATAAACGCCTGTACGTCTAAGAAATGTAAATAAATTTATATAATATAACGATTATTATAAATGAGTTAATGTCTCTCTAAAATATGGTTGCGTTATTGTTATAATGGAATATTTTATAAATGTATACATGGTTTAAATGGAGAATACTTAACTCAAAGATTATTGATAGCTTAGTTTTTTTACTATCAACAATCAAAACACATACACAGATTGTTTCACATTGTTTGTCGATGTTGAATGAGAATTTAGGGAAAGGTTTCGACGTATATTTATATAATGGACAGGTTTATGGTCTGAGTTGTCTACTATTCTACTCAATGAATAGACATTGAATATTCACTCTAAATAGTAACTAATTCACATACTCTATGATATAATTCAATCCACTTTTCTGAATGATGGATTATTCTGAAACATAGATAAAACTTCTTTTTTGTTTTATCATACGATTGATCTTCACACTTCAAAATAACAGTGAACTTTACAAACTTGATAGACAATACAATATCATTAGCCGTATAGAAGATTGTAAAATCAGTTTTTGTCTATTGTTTTTTGTATTCAGAATAACAACCACTGAATGTAGAAAAGGAACGTCTGACTTCAAATAGCAGACGACCTAACTCAAAATCCAGTCATTCGAAACACGTATTGTTAATGGAGTTTTTGCACTGATATAGTTGAGCCATATCCTTTTAAAATCTGTTTGTTCAATCTCTGTAACTTTAGTCTGATTAAGAGGTGACCAATTTTTTAAAGCGCTGAAACAAATATAAAAGTGCAATCAATATATCGACAATTTGATGTTGTGAATGTTTATCTGACTCGATGTTTGGTGTTATTATTCACTTAACTAGTTGTACAATATTTATTTGGAGTTGGTCGCCAATTATTGTTCTTCAATAAATAGTTATGCCATGTCTAACTCAGTTGTTCGTTCTGTTTCAGCAACCGGTTTTAGGCATCTAAAAGTCTTCTGAAATCAGAAGAATCGCTTAACCGAACTCATCGTTACAACATAGCTAATGTGCTTAATAGTGTTTTCTCACAATTGCTTGATCACTGGATAGTGATTAATGTCAAGTATTTAATTGTTATCTTACTGCTGATCGAATTCTATCGATCAAGTTGCTATGTGGCTACTAGTCTAAGTGACTCAATGTCGGATGCCCTATGTTATGATGTAAAGTGTTATAGTTAGAATACAGGAAACCCTGTTTGACCATTCTATTTTCTACAAGTCGACGAAATGTTCCTGTAATCTTGAGGGTGGTAGTACTTCTGGCAGATCTGAATAATCATCACCCGGCCTCACAAAAAGCCAAAAGGGCTATTGAATTACATTATGAATCAATATGTCTACCTCATAAACTTTATGATTTATTCAGAGGAATAATTGAGGATACTTTTTATCCTCGATTTAATGTTAATCCGTTTATGATATTTTACTGACTAAACAGAATTTTATGCATTAATCTTTCAACTGACAAACTATGTACTGTAGTTTTATGTGTTTCTATTTAAGTAATCCAAATGTTTGGTATTTTACTTCAAAGGTTCCATGTTAATAGACATTTCTTATAAGTTGCATAAATGTACTTACATAGTAAGACGCTTTTAAACCTCCAATATCGGCTAAAATTTCATCTCGTGTATCGGTTTGAAGGGCCTAGATAAATTAAGTAATTCAAAAACGTGTTATGTGAACATTGAATTTAAGCATTTTGTATAATTCTGATTTTACATTGAAATGCTCCATGCAACTTCATGACATAAATTTTATAAGTCAGACTACATTGTCTATAATAGTCGATCATCTCGATCATAATTAAGACATCAGCGAAATTATAAATCACTTTGTAAGGAACTTGTAATCAGTTATCACTTACGTTATCCCTTTCACCATAAAATGTATTGAAATTTTAAGATTATTAAATCTCCCTAATGATTTGGTATTAGATAAATGTTCTAATGTGAACTCATATAGGTTATATGAAATTCAGGGTTAGAGTAGATGATATCGGATTGTTTTCAAAAACCATTATGGGGTAAAATGGTAGCTAAGCAAAATAACTAAAAGGAAAAAAGGCTTTCAGTGTACATAGTAAACATTTAATTGGACAGTGTACATTCATTATGAATAATGTTAACTACACACATTACATTAATAGTGAGTCCCGTAACATTTGATTTTCACGATAAAGGTGAATTAAGTAACATAAATATTTTTTCGGTTCATATATTTAAAGCGATTAGTCCCTTTGATAAATTTCGTTAGTGTAATAAGAAGATGAAGATTATCAGAACGATGTGATATATTAGCGCAATACATTACGAACAATCTGATCACACATAACATGCTTGTTAAGAACATTGATCAAAGTCAACTAGGCTGGAAATGGGTTGGCGTGAGTTTAACAAAATAAGTAAACCGGTGTTTTGTGTAATGCTGACCAAATTTATATTCCTTGACAATCTTAAAACGTTTTAAGTTAAATACAATTCACATGAAGGTTGTTGTGTTTTTCTTTTTATACTAAATTATCGAACTTCTAAGTGCTCAATGACTGCACAAAAATATAGGTATACTTTCGTATGCTAATACCTATAATTTATTAAACTTACTTTGTAATCGGTAAATTCATAAAGTCTATATTGATCACTAATACATGAAGTTTTGGTTTCTATCACAGAAGATAACATAAGACCAGTCAAACCAGTTAGACTAGTACCAGCTGAATCAAACAGTACACCTTGAAATTCAACAAAATTAATGGATTATTATTGATTAAAATGATAATTATTTTTAATATATCATTTTTGACATAATTAATAGTTTCCATATTCAGTAAACAGTTGACAAATAAATAGTAGAAGGAAGGGTAAACAGAAATCAGTGCATATTTGTTTGATAACCAACAGTTTGTACATCAATCGGAATGAAAGACTAAAACAATGAGTTTGTCAGAAACTAACACAACAGACAATATAAAAGGTGGATGGTGTCTAGCAGTGGAATTCAGAATACTCATTTCGTTCTATTTGGGACTTGTCAATTAGATGAACCTACATCCTAGCTCTACTTATAATGCTTACGACCTAAGACAATATCAAGCCGATCTCACAAAATGCACGTATGCCAATAAGAAACTAATACATTGCAGTCCTAAACATCAATAAGAGGATTCAAACAATCAGTATTAAAATGAAATTAATATCAGGACAACAGCAGTCTAATTTTGTATTCGAAAACGAGTCTGATATTCAGTGTATGGTAACAGAGTAATACTCAGTATCAATTAGTCGGTGATTTATAGAATAAAATGATTTTGTGAAGTTCGAAAGATTAAAAGTATGGAAACTAATAAAAACCAAATTATGAATCACATAATTCACCGATTTCTAATGAAAGTTTCCACTAACTAAATGTACCTTCAATTGATAGTGAGTGTACTCTCGTGAGACGTGGATCGATGACACAAATGAGCCTTTCAATCGTTGTTACAAGTAATCGATATGAGTGTGAACTAAGCTGACATGGATGTGGTCAAGTATTTAATAGTCAAGCTGAAAAGATTTAATATTTCGTTCGAAGTACAACTAGACTAAACTAGACTAGTTGAAGCCAATCTACAAATCGCTGCATGGTATCACTAGCAAAATGTTTTATGCATTACTGAACTAAACTGAAACTTAAGCCTGTTATTGTATTTGAATATTTAAATATTGTGAAGATTGATTAATGGATTCTTTCTATTCATATTATAGTGAATTGTCGTGAGATCGCCCTCCTTTCTGTGATGTGCTGATTTCGAGAATGTATCGATACAGGACACAGGTGGTATTTTGTGATTCCGTAATCGTCTTGCGCTTAATACTGACATGTGGAGATTGTACACGATGACAAAATATTATTCAGATATTACGTGATGTTTGTCCATAAGGTTAGTTTTAACAAATGAACAACAAACTGTGATCGTCAAACTCAGGATGTTGACATTTTGTTGATATGCAAAATAAATGATTCTGATCAATACATGTTAATAATTAGTCAAATAGTAAATTTCTCTATGAATTCATGAGATAATTAAATGATATTGTGGTTTTATTAACAGTGTTATACCGAAAGTAATAATTTTATACAAGTTAATTAATATTACTTTTAAGAAACTGAAAATTCAGTATACTGATTGAACAAACCTTGGATACCTATTCCGTGCATGATCTCATGACTTATAATCCAACCAAGTGCTCCAAATTTCGAAGCTAAACTACCATTTTCATAATAAAGTGGAGGTTGCAACACTCCAGCATTCACATAAACACGGTTTGCATTTATATTGTAATAAGCGCGAGTTGTAAATATCGGTAATTCTAAAGGAGATCTATTCACATAAAAAATAATAATCTTGATTAATTATGTCGTCATCTTTCACTGAACGTTTGATAGGTTTTTCAACTTAGAGGACAACTGTTTAATTATGAATAACGTATAATAAAAACTGTGACAGTTTTATTGCAGAGTTCTTGAATGCATTGATAGTCAACTGCGAAATGTAGTTTTTACCTGAGATTAGATTTTCTACTCAATGAACCATTTGATATTACTGAGCAATATTTATCAATACTCTTATAAAATAGTTATTTATATGAAAAGTGTCTAGTTTACATTCAGTTTCCATGTGCCTTTAAAAGTGAATATGTTTCTATCACTTTAGAATGACTTATTTTCGCTGTTTAACACTACCTGTGTTTCTATTGAGTGACATGAACGGATGCTGAGAAAAAAATAATCAAAGTTCTAGGTACCAAGTTACATGTTCATCTTCATAGGTAACAACAACAAAAACTACTACAACTACTGTTACTAACACTAATAATAATACAATTATTAACAATAATAATCACTCTATTTTCATAACTTAAGTGAAATATTTCTGAAAGAAAATTATATTTGTAATACACTCCGAGACTGGAGTTACAATAAATCCAACGTTTTACTCCATGGTCTGGTCTGAACTTCGTCAAGTGAAATATTATCATTGTGATTTCTGTTCATAATTTTTCGCATTGTTACTGCCACCAATTTATAAATAATCATTTACCTTCAAAGCATTGAACCCACCTTGTTATTTCTTACTGATTTCATATCTAACACTAAATATCTGGATCTAATGCGTAAATATATTATCTTATCAAACAGAGGACAAGATAATTGATTTTATTGCTTTGATGTGAATCTACAAATTCAGCCGTTTCTGCGTACAATCAGACAACCGACACATGGGTGAACATACCTTAGCTTGGTTAGGAAAAGACCAGACGAAGATAATGCACAGCTCTATCTTCCAGTAGTCGTGTGGTAGATAAATCTTAATTATTTACAGTGATCTATCGTGAACCTTCATCAGTTTCTAATGGGCTTCTACCACGTCTACTACAAATAGCAAAATCTTTAGTGATCCCAACGTATCACACTATTTTAAGTGTTCAGAAGTATTTAGTGACACCACTGTCACATCATTGGCCTGTTATCACTAAACATACGACTTCATTGATTTTTTTGCATCGTGTATCCGTTTACTGCTTTTCACCTCCTTCCGTCTATTTTCTTCACTATGTATATAATTACACACTCTCTACTACACAATTTTAATTATGTTTGTTGATTGCAATTTTAAAGTCCATTTATCTAAGCTTGACCTATTTTCATTGTCTAACTACTGACTAGAACTTTTGTCATTTCTTTTTTTATCACTACTAGTACACCTTTATTCTTCTTATTGATCAGTACTTTCTAATGTGTAGTTGGACAACTCATTTCGTTATGACTATTGACTCATAAATTGCTTTGATTAGTTTAGTGTTTTTATTAACTCATACATCCATGTATATTAAATTAAAGTTTGATGAAGATTCAAATGAAAACAATACTGTTCGACTATATGTATCACATTATTATTGTGCTCAACATAGATTATATATTTTCATTTTAGTCATTAACCTTGCAATTTCATTTGATACAGGGGACATGTTGAAGTTGACACTGCATATTAATCGTTTCAGCATTAAAAAGTTCCATTTTATTTTATAAACAAGTCTGAGTTTCTATGAATATTCGTCAATATACATCAACAAAATTGGTTGTAGGAGAGTTGTAACAGTAGTATAGGGAATGGGAACAAATAATCACCAGGTTAACAAATTTTTGGGTAAATTTTGTTTCATTTACGTGATCACGAAAACATACAGGTTTCAGTTTTGACTCATATGCACTTTGAAATCATTTAGCAAATTGTTAAGTGAAATGGTTTACATTCATACAACAATCATGTTGAATAAATGATGTCAGTTCAAACAATAGGTGTAAATAATAGAAAATGCTTTAGTTATTTTGTTATCTGATGGTAATATAGATTCTAATATACAGATGGAATATCATTAAATTACTGACCTGGTTTAAATAAACCATCTGAAATCACGAAAAAAATACTTATTTGAAAAATAATAAGTAAAAGTGAAAGGAGTAGACGGATTGTCATTTGAAAGATTTAGATCATTAGTGACTATTTTACATAGATTGTAGTCTGTTATTTGGGTTTACATTAGTAAATAGTATCAAATCTCCTAAAGACAAAAATATAAAGATGCTATGTGATATGATAGTAGTTGTAATAATAATAGTAATAATCGACAATTAGCATTTGTCGTTTGGGTTATAAAATGAATGAAATCTTCTTACTTCATTACCACCTTGAATAATGTAATGAAGGCACAGAAAGTTTTCTTAAGGAAAATGATTTGTACATCCTTCCGTTTTCTAAGATTTTAATTAGCATATTCGTTACAAGATTTAGAGGGAAGATGTCCAAATACGAACCAAACACACACTAAATCAGTCCAAGAAATCAATTTGATTTCATGGTAATGTGGGTTCTATTCAGTAGAAGGCATCAATCCATAAGATAATTTTGATTAAAGTATGGTCAAATCTTTGCAGTTAAATAATAAAATTAATAATTTGTGATAACTTGTATTGTTTTTATATCAGAGATATCATGAAAACTCACGGGTTATATTTGTGTAATTGAGTTTTCAAAGTGTCAATATATTTCGCTCTACGGATGTAGAATTCATTTGTGTAATAATTGTCCTCTCGAATAGGGTACTAAATATTATTTGTGTGAAAAAACATTGACAGAGATCATTTAAAAGATGTTTAAAGCACGTTCTATACATTCTGTTTTCCAGTTTATTGAGTAAGTATTTCTGAATCAAGGGTTTTGGGAAAATGCAGTGTCATTGAAGCAACATTTCGGATTTTCATTGTCAAACCAATCATTGTCACGTAAATTGACTTTCCTCAATTTGTAACGCCGAGTTACTGAAATGATTTGACTGATGCATAAAATTGTGCGAATAGTCCTCGTGTGATTATAAATTTCATCACTTAATGATATGCATACAACCTTGTACTGTGACGAGTTTGTAGATGATTTTGTACATGCACTCAAGTAGTTGAATTATGGTGAGATTGATGTGCAGTTTTTGAGGACCAGTAGATTGGTCCATAAATTGACCGATATATTTGAACCTGTTAGGGTTTAACCTCTGAGTTCCCGAACTGCAGAATAAAGACCAGTGAGTTGGGGTTTCTCTGCCACGTAATGATTGAGGCAAACCAATGTTGCTTGGAAATATGAAATATGCTTCTATTACACTAAGTTTTATCAATGGTGAGTTCTAGGAACAGCGGTGTCTTGTAAGTTTCACATATCTCCTCCGTGAAAACCAGAGTTATTTTGTGTAGAATTAGCTTATTATTATATACAATGATGTATAATATAACCAGTTTTCAATAAAATAATCATTAGTTGTATCAAATAGACATGTAAAATAATTTATTTTTCAATAGTGAAATAAGTGTAGTTAACTTACTAGGAATACTGTTGAGAGATTTTCATTTTGTTGAGAAGCATTTTGATTGGAGTACAAGGCAAATATGCTCAGTTTTGAAACCTTGTCTTGCAAAAATGGCTTTTCTGTCTCACCCAACCAGTTGAGTTTTGATATTGAGTCAATTACAGTGAGTTTAATTTCATTAAACATATTGATCACCTGTAATACAGTTAAAACTAACCAAGCTGAGAAAGTGTATGTCATGTTTGAAAATCATCACGAACAAGTTACAGGAGATAGGTTGTGAGATTTAAACATGAGCACATCTTAGGCCTGGGCCAATCAACTTAGTTATAAGTTCACAGCAAGTGGTTGTACTATAGCAACTGTCCTACAACCAATTTCGATTATGGTTAATTTTGGTTATGCTCTTTTATTGACTTACTTAACAGACAGTGTTATATGAACAGTAACAATTTGCATATCTCTTTGTACCGTTATGATAACTAGATCGCATGACAGACTCTAGCTAAAGTGTGAATATCTTAAATGTCACTCGATGATTCATCCTCCTCCCCATGTATGCATGTACTCAAATCCTATTATTAGTCCTTGCTTTGCCGTGCTGTGTCCTTATTCGATTTAACTATAAATTTGCCTCTGTATTTGCTCGCATAAACATATTCGGTTCTCTGCCTCAAATTCGTTCGATATAGTTATAGCATTGTGATCTGCGCTATCCGCTAATAAACCGTAGTTACCGCTTCTCATTGCCTTCTGATTTCAAACAAAGTTGATATTTATATGATAATGGTTACGAGAGTGATTGATGAACATGCTATCCCACTACAGTATGATGGATTTTGGTTTTTCAAATCGACTATTGTTCTCTGATCATCAAGAATATGTTTTTGATATTTAAATTGTGTACCAATATACAGTCTAGTAGAGTAGCTTAACAAGATCATTCGGATGGATATTAGAATCTATGTTTTAAGTGGATTTGGTGAGAAACATCGTATACAGGTGATAGAAACATTTTGAATGGTTACGAGCGTTTAACTTACATCATAGTTAGTTGCCTACTCTTACTAAATTGTATTGTGTTAAACTTAATCTTGACAATGTAATGTAGTGTTTACGATAATAAAGTCTCATCCCATATTGTTCAAATGGTTATTGCACAGTGTAACTCCTAGATCTCAAAAGAGACCACACCAGTGATCACAATTCGTAGGGATTCTGAAGATTATTTGAAAAACAATCAGCAGATTTTCACCGAAACTGTTTTTTTCGAGAAAAGTGGTTTGAGTTGACTGTCTTACCGAAACCAGGTCGACATTGGAACTATGTTGATCATGTGATGTAATTCATGTAGGAACGTATATCCGAAATCGAAAGCATAATTTTACAACTGTTGAGGGACAGTTTTGTAGGTGATGGCGAAAGTATGAAAGTGTTTTGGAAATTCTCATGAATTAACATCAAAGTAACCCCAATTTTCGCATCATAAACTTTGTCAATTCGAAGAGTAACCAAGGTCAATGTTATTTACCACGAATACCGTTAGAAAATATTTTTAAGCTGAGCCTTTATTAAGTTAATATGCTGATTATCACTTTGTGTGAATATAAGTCATTTGGTGTGGAGTGTGCTCCAGAAAAGGACCTGGCTATTCTTATGAGGGATCTAAATGCCAAAGTTGTCATGGACAACAACAGTTATGAAGATATTATGAGGCGACATGGACTAGAGGAAAGTAAACATAAGAGTTAGTGATTTGCAAATCGAATTGGTCCTAAGTGTCACAATATTCCCACACAAATGCATACACAAAGCTATATTAGTCTTACCAGGCCACACCACGAAGAACCGGATAGATCATATTTGCATCACGAAAAGTTCATAAGGTCAATGGAAGACGTTAGAACCAGAAGACGAGCTTACATAGCTTCAGATCATCATCTACCTGGAGGTTGTCAAGATGGAACTGAAACTAAAGAAGGATTAGACAACCGGAAATTATCAGCAACAGCCTACTGTAGGAGAGAATAAGCTAACTTCCGTCTGAGTAGAAATTAAAAAAAACGTTTGAAGTGAATAGGACACAAATTAAGGAAATTGCCGAACTGCATCACGAATTAGGCGCGTACTTGGAGTCTTGAAGTGTGATGGAAAAGAGGGAAGCCAAAGACGGCACCGCGTTGGGAATTGGAAGGAGACATGAAAAGAATGAATACCAACTGGAAACAAATTGAAAGGATGGTCAAGGCAGAGTTGGATGAAGAATACTGGTGAGTGGCCTATGTTCATCGACGAGTTGTAACAGGTGAAAATAAGTATGAATGGCCGACTGTTGAGAACAAAAGTGTTTCTGACAGTATTCCAAATAAATAATTTTAATTTCGATTATTCTCAAACCATACTCTTGAAAAAAATTTACGAGCTATTCAAATTCGACCAAAATAATATCTACAAATATTTCTTTTAATATAATTGATGTTTAAAATGAAAAATAATTATATTGTAGCCCTTTGATTATATAAGGAATTCTTCAATCGGTGAATTAGTTGTAACTAGGAATCTATTTGGGTTGTCTCATTTCATCATGTAACGATTTCATATTATCGCTAGGCGTGTCTACCGTTCAAACATTGTAGATAAGTGAAATATGACATGAACCAACCTCTGTTATGTGTGTTTCGTTTACATGCGAACGGATATAATGTCTTTCAGGCGTCCATGGAAATGCATCCTTCAACCGATTTATACATTGCTCATCAAAATGTGGCTGTGAAGCTATTTAAAATAAAGTGAAATAATGTTATGTTGTGAGAGGACCAAATGAATTTATAAAAGGAAAGAACGGAATCAGTGAGTATGTCAGCAAATACAAAGTTGATCTTGATATTCTCCATGAAACACAGGATACTCTATCGTACAAATCCAGTGTTTACAGATCTAGTGTTCATGACTACTTGTATACTCAATCATCGTCTACTTGCTTCAACACTAAGTGGAGAAAGAATATATTCAATATATTGTTTAATCAATAAGCTGTTCACGTGCTTCAGAGTATACTTTAGATAATTAATATTTTAAGTCATTCCACTTCTATCAATATGACTGAAAATGACAGTGATGAATAAATGTACATTGGTTCAGGAATGATGGATTACGTTGATGGGATTTATTGAGTATTCTGGATTTGTACATATATGAGTATGTCTTCTGTAGAATTATGCAGGCAGAATACAATAGGAAGTTTTGTTTCGACTAGTAACTATTGCCTTGTCTGTTTTATACTGGTTATTAGTATATTTATTGATGATGGCAGTCAGTGATTATCAGGTGTTTGACGTTAACTTTATTCATATGACATAACTATTTTTTCCAAAATAAGAATTCGACTGTCCTTTGTGGTTTTCTACAAATAGAACGCATCAACACTTGGCATATTAAAACATAATTTGAAATGATCATCGAAAATTTGTTCAGTGCTCATCTACATAAACCGCTCTTGTTATTACGGTAATACTTATGAAGTGATATGCGGTTAAAATCTGATTCGAAATCCCTATGCTAATTATTTCATTCATAATCATTAAATGTTCCGATAGTTGAAATAATGAGTCAACTGAAGCTAGACCACCATGGAAAACCTGGAAGCACTGGATGGCTGTTTCGTCCCAGTATGGGACTCTTCAGCTGTGCGCGTCCACGAGCCTGCCCCTTGAGAGATTCGAACCCAGGACCTATAAGTCTCGCTCTGGTGCGCTTAGTCATCAGACCACTGAGCCGGCATTCAACGGTGTCAATGTCTGATGGGTCCTGTGTTCGAATCTCGCGGGTGGCGGGATCGTAGATGTGCACTGCTGAGGAGTCCCGTGCTAAGATGAACAAGTCATCCAGTGCTTCCAGCTTTTCCATGGTGGTCTAGCTTCAATTGACTCATGATTTCAACGATTGAAATTACCAAATTCTCCATAAAACCCTTTCTGACATTAAATATTCACCAATAATATGGTCTTTTATCCGATCCGTGTGAATTTCCGTTCGAAATATCTTTACGTGTACAAAAATATCTTTATATATTATAGTAGGTTTTAGTCAATATGTTACCATAAAATAAAATTTAGAATAACGTGTGTGATAATTACTTGAGTGTTAATGTTGTCTGAGAGTTGATCATTACTTAATGAAATAACTTTAGTATGGAAATACATTAAATGTTCGAGATGTATATCTTATTTAAAAATTATACATTAATTGTTGAGAAATAAATCTTTAAAAATGGACTTATTCTCCACATGGTAATGCTACACAACTATAGTGACCATCCTAAATAGGTCTACCATTTTTGCCGTCAGAAACTTCGCTTGCATCAAATCATGATTTTAAATACCGTATATGTATTCGGAAAATGTAGTCAAGCATTTGGCAGACCACTTAAAATACATTTGAATTTGTGTATATTCAGGCAACCACCGGATCATATAAATTTTAGTCGTTTAATGCAAACCGAATAGTTTGTTAATTGAATGTCAGAGCTAACCAAATAAATACATCAATTTTATACTAACATGAATACGAATTATTGTCTGTTCCAGTGGGACTGAGGTTCATGGATTGCAACAATTGATTAATCAAAAAATCCATAATAATGATTGTACGAAATGCACTGTAAAAAAAGACGTCAAGTTAAAGAAAAGCTTTAATGCAACTAGTATTGTGAATAAATAATAAGATCCGCCACCCCCCTGTAATTTTACACCGATCAGTATCAACAAGTCTACATTGTAGTTTTAGAGCGTGGAGCCGGTTATCTACAACATTTTTGTGCCAAACCATCATATGAAGTGTGAACTTATAGATATACCTACTGGATTTTACCCAAATAATTTAGTAAGAGCAGCAAATAAAATACGGCTGATAATTCAGCTTTATAGATCCTTATCAATAACTAAGTACAGATGGAATAGTCAAATGACATTTGTCATGTACGATACCAATGAGGAAATGTAGATTGAATAATTTGAGTTTCAACATTTTTCTAAAATCCTTTTATTAGATATTGGAAACCTACCACAGAACATGTATCGAAACAGTGTTGTATTCGGTAGATGTTCGTTAGCAGAGTAAGCGTGTGTTATTTTCGGGTTGTGACAAGTCCCAGAACACTGGATACGAAGTGTAGCCGGATATTATCTGTTTCATAGTCTTTGTTTACATAAATCTCCGTTATCACTTACATTGTGTAGTGAAGACTGAAATTATTATTCCCAGTCTCTGAAGAAGTTGTCCAACATGATATTGCCGACTTAACCAAGCTATCCAGGTTCTCAGGATCGACTGAAAAAGCACACAAGTTGATCGTTGACATTCTTCCTAATGATAATCTAATGTGAAATTAACAACTCTTTTTATTAGCTCTATTCAAATAAAACAAACAGTGGCCAGTTTGTTTACTTAAATAAATTTTGAAAATTTTTGTGCTCTGCTTAGTTAAAAGATGTACATTGAAGGTAATCAGAATGACTGATAAACAGTTTTTAGTACATAATATTCACTACATGTATCATATCAACGTGTCACTTCGATGTAAACGGAAACCCGTTGATTATAAATGGCAATAAGCCTTATATAGATGTCAATGGACTTCTTCCTATGATAAACCTAACGACATAGTATTTGATGACAAAACTTCAATGCTTTTAATGCGATTAGTTTAAATATAAAAATTCAGCTTAGAATAAGTAGTTTTCACATGATGATACAGACATAGTTACCCAGGATTACGCTGGTATTCCTTTTCAATATACTTAAAGTTAAACTGTTATATTTGTTGTTAGCCATAAAGAAAATGAAGTACGTTTCACCTTTTATCATTTTTTGTTTTCATTACATCACCATATAATTCACAACGATGTTTAAGCTGATATCGTCCTTCTACAATGATTGATAGCTGCTTGGATTTTTCATATCCAATTTGTTTCAGTAATTCTTTCAATAAATAACTCCAATCGATCTATACATGTAAATTAAAATAAAATGAAGGTGACATATATATTTATATATATATATATATATATATATATATATATATATATATATATATATATATATATATAATATATTTATATATTTACGAAAGGAAATGTAACAATGATTCCAAAGTGACTCGAAGTAAAAGAGTTTTGACGAATAAGTATGATGCAAGTGAATTTCTGTTTATGATCTCTACTCATTATTTGGATGTTTTGGAAATAAACAACGTTTCACCATATAAGAAGTTTGTGGGGACTGTTAGATTTCGTAGATTACATTTCCAAATAATCTCATTTATATAACAATCGAAAAATCATGTGGTTCTGAAAAGCTGTTTCCTTATAGTATAGGATATCTGTTCAATCCACATTTAGTGGTTCATTAGGCTAAAGAATAAATACTTGAAGTGAGATCTGCATTTTACAGTCAAGGTGTCGTAGACGTGTATTGCTGTGGCCGATTCTCAGTTAAAAGAGCTGTTCACCATGTTTAGGATTTCTAGATATGGTCAGTTTATGATGTAGTCAATGAAAATAAGTATCTATCTCATAACACATGTGGGTAATTGTTAACCTCACGATATTAATGATATTATTCAGGAAAGTTTTGAAATAAAATTTACCTGAGGACAAATGGATTTCAGTTTTTTCATTGAAATAATTTCATTGAATTTGCTCACATGAAGTCCTTGTGTAATTGATATCTTCTGAAAATGCATCATAAAGAAATAGCAATTATCAAAGTCATGGGTAATTCGTTAATTTTAATTACATATTGGAGTAGGGGAAAGATGAGAGAAGTCATGAAAACGTGCTACTTTTTCATAAAAAAGCATATGGACGAATTTTTTTTATAATGATTGCTACTTGAAATATTATAATATTATAGAAATTCTTCGTAACACGCCATCACACTAATCTTCGTACTTATTATTTACTTACTTACTTACGCCTGTTACTCCTCGTGAAGGAGCGCAGGCCGCTCACCAGCATTCTCCATCCAACCCTGTCCTGGACAATCCTCTCTAGCTCCTTCCAGTTGTTATTCACCATTTTCATATCTGCTATTTCCAGACGTAATGTGTTCTTTGGCCTTCCTCTTTTCAGCCTCCTTTCAGGATTCCAAGTTAGGGCTTGTCTCGTGATGCAGTTTGACAATTTGCGTAATGTATGTCCTATCCATTCCCATAGTCTTTTCCTAATTTCTTCTTCAGCTGGAAGCTGGTTTGTTCTCTCCCAGAGAAGGGTGTTATTGATTGTATCCGGCCAATGGATGTTGAGTATCTTGCGTAGACGGCTATTTATAAATACTTGTACCTTCTTGACGGTGGTTGTTGTAGTTCTCTAAGTTTCAGCTCCGTACAGTAGAACTGCCTTGAAGTTCTTATTGATTTGTCTGATGGCCATTCTGATTTCTTCCGTCGTTGGTGGATTGACATCTATAGGAAGATCTGTATGTGATGCTTCGAAGTCCGTTGGGTTCATCAGAGCCGACCAATTCAAAAGTTTCTCGAAGTATTCTACCCATCTGTTTCGCTGTTGTTGAATTTCAGTGATTAGCCTGCCTTCTTTGTCCTTGATCGGTCTCTCTGGTTTACTATATTTCCCTGCTAGTTTCTTCGTTGTATCGTAAAGCTGTTTCATATTTCCTTCTCTAGCAGCTTTTTCTGCCGTCGTTGCTATTTGTTCCACGTATTTATGCTTGTCGGCTTTAATGCTCTACTTCACTTGTTCATTTGCTTCTATGTATTCAGCTTGTGCTTAGACTTTCTCTGCTCGTGTTCGGCTGTTGTTAATTGCTGCCTTCTTGTTCTTCCTTTCTTTGATCTTGTCCAGTAATTATACAGAGATCCATTCCTTATGATGGTGTTTATTTAGACCCAGAACCTCTTGACACGTTGAAGTTAATGCTTCTTTGATGCCTTTCCAGTTGTCCTCCATATCAGTTTCTTCTTCTTTCAGTAGATACTGTAAGGCTTGGAACCTGTTGATGAGAGCTATCTTGAATTCGTTGAGTCTGTCAGTATCTCGAAGAAAGGCTGTATTGAACCTTTGTAATGCTGTTTGTACAGTTGTCCGGTTATTTTTTAGCTTCAGTTTTAAATTGGCTACAACTAGGTGGTGATCTGAAGCTATGTCAGCTCCTCTCCTGGTTCTCACATCTTCCATTGTCCTTCGGAATTTCTTGTTGATGCAAATATGATCTATCTGGTTCTCTGTAGTGTTGTCCGGTGAGATCCATGTAGCTTTGTGCATACGTTTGTGTGGAAATATTGTGCCTCCTATGACCAATTTGTTGAATGCACACAGATTGGCAAATCTCTCCCCATTTTCGTTTCTCTCTCCCAGTCCATGTCGTTCCATGATATATTCATATCCGGTTTCGTCTATTCTGACTTTGGCATTTAGATCTACCATCAGAATGCTGAGGTCCTTTCTTGGGCATTTCTCTACGATTGACTGCAGCCGCTCGTAGAATTGATCTTTAATGTCGTCGTTGCTATCATTAGTGGGTGCATAACATTGGATAATATTCATTGTGATCCCCTCCTTCTTTATTTTGAATGTTTTGATGATTCTGGATCCGTGAGATTCCCATTCTACAATTGCATTTCGTGCTACTTTCGAAAGCATAAGAGCGACTCCCTAAGTGTGTGGAGCATTTTCCTCTTCGTGACTGGAGTATAGCAGCATCTCTCCCGTATCTAGCCTTTGTTTTCCAGCTTGGGTTCAGTGGGTTTCGCTGAGTCACAGTTCTGCCAAGTTGTTTCTCCTCATTTCCATTGCTATTCGACTGGTCTTCCCAGTCTCCCACATTGTTCGAACGTTCCATGTACCTATAAAAATTGTTGCTCTGGTTGTTAGAAGGGGCATCGGCCTCGTGGCTTCCGAAGGAACTCGGCTTTCACCATGGGGCGTCATAATTCTTCTAAACGAGGACCTTCTAACTCCCAGGGCAGAGTTAAAATGGTTTGGATTATTTTTTCTGGTAAGCGTTTTTTTAGCGAGTTAGTTTCCTACGTGATATGGACGATAACCCCATGCCTAACCCTCCTCCTTTACCCGGGCTTGGGACCGGCAGTAACTCTAGAACAGCTACAGGCGTAGTTCGATTTATTGATAGCATATCAAATATATCTTCGAACCTCCTCACTTGTGTCTTTTGATTTCACTTGATGGGTACGATTCATATTAGAAGGTGTTACTGGTTAAAGCGTTGTCGAACTCCGAGTACCTGTGGCATCTTCAATTTAAAGGACAATCCATGAATCAAGAAAATATCTCATCATTACAATGGAATATTACGGAATAATAAGTGTACAATATTATTATGAAATAAGTTTGTCTATTAAACGAACCATCTAATTAGTGAAATACTGATACCTACAATCTTCTCGATTCTGTCTTTTGATTTCTCTTGGTGGGTACGAGTTATACTAGGTGTTACTGGTTAAAGAGTTGTCAAACACTGAATACTTGTGGCATCTTCAAGGTAATGAATTTCACTCGTTGATGATTCGATGGGAAAGTTGATAGTCAGCTGACAAGTAATTTGTTCTGGGCCTGTGAACGTTTTTGAAGTGTACTCATAAATTCTTTGTTTTGAAGGACAAGAAAAATGAGGGCATATCAGGTGCAAATTTATTACTAAGCAATTTGTAAACTGTAATCAAGTCGCCTCTAGTTCTGCGATATGACAACAGGAAAAGGTTCAGCTTGGCCAGTCGAGCTTCATATGGAAGCTCCGCTATTCCGGGAATCAGCTTAGTTGCCGTTCTCTGAACCTTTTCCAGAAGCTCACTGTCTTTTTTTAAGCAGGGGCTGACCGCTTGTATGCAGTACTCAAGTTTAGGACGAACGAACACTGTATACAAAGTCGAAAACGTTTAAGCGTCGACATGGCTAAAAGCCCTACGTATTGATCATAAGGTTCTAAAATTTTTGGCGGCTATTGCATGACAGTGTGCAGTAGTCTTCAAGTCCTGGCTAACGATGACTCCTAAGTCATTATGTGTCTGGACGACAGGTAGCTGTGGTTTTTGAATGAACCAATGATACCTTTTTACTGGTTGAATGTTTGATTTCGAATTCTAAATACAGTACATTCGTTGTGCCTGTGTCTTCTTAATTCAATTGCGTTAATCCTGGAATTCCTAATTCATACTATAATTAGAATACTATATTGGCGTCGTGATGGAACCTGCAATGGAAAAGTTGGATATTCATTCAACTCCTGAAGCTATTGAGGATTATTTGGAAAGGTTCGAAATTTGGAGCATGACCAAGAAAGATGTTAAAGGTGAGAAAATTGTGGCACATTTTCTGACATTCATTGGGAGAGAAGCGTACAGCTTATTAAAAACTTTGGCATATCCAGAAAAACCTATCTCACTGCCTTATACAACTCTTAAAGAGCTATTGTTAAGTCATGTAAAATGCACCAGTTTTGAATGCCGTGAAAGGGCGAAGTTTCATAAGATGGTTCGTCAAAATGACCAAAAGGTTCGGGAATTCATCCTTGAATTACAGAAACAAGCTGCCAAGTGTAATTTCGGTGATCAACTTCATGTGCAATTGAGAGATCGATTAATTGCAGGAATTAACATACCGAGTTTGGAAAGAGAGCTGTTAAAAATGCCAAACTGTTCCTTTCAAGATGCTAGAACTGCATGTATTAACTACGAAGCAGTCAATGAACTTGATATCCAGTCGATGAACATTTCTAATACTTTGCTTAGTCGTCGTGATGAACTACAATCTCAGGGTCAATCAAACTTGCGTTCATTTAACAATGATTCCTATTCTCGTGTAAATATGAAAGGTGTTTCAACGAGGAATTACAAAGCAAATCACAAAGGTGAGATGAAGTTTGGTAAATGTTTATCATGTGGAAAGTTTCATGCTCGCAATTCATGTGTATTTCGTAATGCTAAATGTTTTAAATGTGGTAAGGTAGGACACATTCAGTCAGTATGCAAAGCTACTGTCCATTTTGCTTCGAGCTGTACTAAATCTTGTAATTTAAATTTCAATAATTCGGATGTTTCTAGTGATCATTTGTCTTTGTCCACTATTTCGAAAGGTAATGCTCATATTCAGAAGCGATTATATACATCGCTTGGTTCATTTCATGACTTTATTCTGGACACAGGCAGTATAGAGTTCATTATTTCATTCAAGAACTTGAAAGCTTTAGATCCTAACGTTGTTGTACGACCCACTGAAGTATCAATACTGGGGATTATTGGACACAGACTGCCCATACGAGGATGTTGTGAATTGCTAATCAGAGATGATAATTCTTCATACATAGCTTGTGAATTTTTAGTTAGCGAAACAGGACTGTCAATATCAGGTTTAAAGAATTTGAAAAGGCTTAAGGTGGAGTTGTCCTTCTTAGTTTCTAAAGAAAATTCTGATACTTTACTTAAAGATTTGATAGCTATGTGTGCTAAGTGCAGCGGAGGTATGAAAATTAAGCCTATAAAACTTCAAGTACAGAGTGATGCAGTCTCTCTTAAAAGACGAATAATTGCTTATCGTCTTCGAGAAGCAGTACATAAGACATTAAACGATTTGTGTGTGAAAGGCATAATTGAACCAATTCAGTTTTCAGCATGGGGTACTCCTATCGTTACGCCACTGAAGTCGGACGGCAAGACCCCTAGAATTTGCGGTGACTATAGACTAACTCTGAACTCTCGTTTGTTGAAGCAAA